CTTTATATAAGAATCACATAGCATTTATATGTTCGTATCACACTATTAATCTTTAGAGGAAAAAAGCGTAAAATTTTTATACGTGTATAAGTCTTTATATAAGAAATAGCATTTTATGTTTATACACTCTTTACCTTTAGAGAAAAGGTTATAAGGAGAATTATTGTGTCACACTCGGAGGATTGTGGACACCAATGAATTCTTTTATTTTTCAAATTTTATTTCTAATATGTTTTTCTCATATAATCAGTTTAATTTAAAAAAATAAATGTTTTTGTTATACAAGATGAAATCTTTTGTATCTGAATAAGAATGGCACACATTATGTTTGGTGTTACATTTTCTTTAAAAAAATTGTCATTTATTAAGTTTTGAATAAGTATATCAGAGTTTCATATATATATATATATATATTTGTTTAAATTACGATTACATGTTTAAAGTATAATTAAAATAAAAGTTACTATTTAATGCGTAATTAACGTGTTTTATTTAAGTTTATTTGATATTTAAAAATTATTCTGTCATATAGCTGAACTGACTGCACTAGTTCAGAGTCTACCTTTATTTTTCTAATGTGCAGTAAAGAAGATAGACTCTGAACTAGTGCAGCCAGTTCAATTCAGTTCAGCAATAAAAAACGTACCTAATTGTACATCCTATATAGGTATATAGATCTTCCTATAATATTCTCTCACTATATTCCTATTGTATTCTCAGAATATTCTATGATGATTCGGTAGAACATTCTATAAACCTTCTTAGAATCAAGAAAACAGTCTCAATTGAACGTGCTGATAATATTCCTAGAACGTTACTTATACTTTGTACGTATCATTTGAGAATATTCTAAAGTTTTCAAAAAATATTCATAAAACATTCTTAGAATGTATCTGTGCTATCTGGGTCTTTTTTAGATACTTGATTTGTTGTCTTTAATCTGCATTTTTTCTGAATTATATATTCGCTTTAATGATACCATTGTTACTTTCTCTTCTGTACATGGTTTCACTATTGTTGCTTTGTCTGCTGTTGTTGAAGGTTGTGCTGAAAATGTAATAATGATAGCAATAATATTACATAAATATGAATAATTTTTTATAACTTACAATATGCAACAAAAGAGTCTTCTTCCTGTTTTTCTTCGCTACTAAATGGCAATGCATTTGGCCTCAATCGAATTAATGACGGATTTGTCCTATCTAAAGACTCCTCCTTAAAATGAGCGGAACAAATACGTGCACTGGATGAAATAGATTGATCAATACGCAAAATATCTATCCACAAATTGCGAATAGTGCTATTCTTTGGAAAACTAAAAAATACACAATAAAATATTTTAAATAACTATCAAAAACATCAACTAATATTAAAGCTTCTTTAAACTTTAAATAAATACAAAATCTATATACTTAACCTATGAAACGTAACTTTTGGAATATTAAGTTGTTTTTTCCAATTTTGGCAGTCAGAACGATTTTTATTGGGTTGTCCGGAAAGTCGGTGCGGATTTTAGAGCAAAATTCAAATGAAAAATTTTTTTAGTTATAAATAATTTTAATTTGCAATGTATGCACCATTATTTTGCACAATACTTTTCCATCTTTCGGGTAATTTCATTATTTCTCTCTCGTAAAAGTTCTGGTTTTTTTCGGCGAAGAAACTGTCCAAGTTTTTGAGGCGTTCCAAAGAAGCAAAGTTCAAATCATTAAGGGAGTTTTGCAGCGACCGAAATAAATGATAATCAGAGGGTGCAATATCGGGGGAATACGGTGGATGAGGCAAAACATCCCAGCCAAACTCCAATAATTTTTGCCGAGTCTGCAAACTTGTATGAGGCCTGGCATTATCATGTTGAAAAGCGTGCGGCACCCAAACATCGAGCTTTTTTATCATTTGAAGTTTGCTTAAATGTTCGGAAACAGTTGACTTGCCTATTTTTAACCTTGCTGCGATCTCCCGAACTGTGATTTGCCGATCGAAATCGATTAAAACTTTTATCTGATCGACATCCGTGGTAACTGGCCGACCAGAACGAGAAGCATCTTCAATATTTATTTCTCCTAAACGAAATTTAGCAAACCACTTCTGGCACATGCGTTCGCTTACAGCATCCTCTCCGTACACGGCACATATTTTTTTTTGAGTTTGTGTCGCATTCTTGCCTTTACGAAAATAGAAAAGCATAATGCACCGAAAAAACACGTTATTTCCTTCCATCTTTAAACTGATGCCAAGAGGAATATCTTTATTTAATTGTGATAACTATTATCACTAAATATGCGTCAAAATGTCACTTATTAAAATACGTACGCATCTGACACATTGAATTGAAATAACCTCCTTAAATTTACTTTTGAACGCCATCTATTGAGAAATCCGCACGAACTTTCCGGACAACCCAATACAATGTGGCACGTAACACTGCACCATTTTAATTTAATAAATACTGCTATACTTTTTATTATATTTCTATTATTTTTATATCTGTATTTTCACTCTGATTCTCGCAAAATACATTAGCGTTCTTTATAGCTGAATTGGTTGAGTTTATCTTTTTCCTTTCACACACTGGAAGTCGCACGATACTTACACCGCGCTTGCGCAAACTAATAGCCAATCAAATTTAGGCACACTTTACCTCGTCGCACCGTCCCGCAGTAACTCCATAGAACTTATACTACTGGAAGAGGAATAGCCCATTCAACGCATAAGAAAAATCTGAAGGAGCCGAACGAGAGAGAAAGATATATATGTGCGAAAGAGAAAGGTATATTCATCCTTTTGGTCGTAATGCGCATGTCAAAAAGCTATATAAAGCGCTCGCTTCAAATTGTTCAGAAAATCATGCAATAAAAAAATCTGAAAATTTTAAAATTGCCTGACTGCAACTCGAACTATGTTTGTAATTGTAAATAATCTCGAAATTATTAAATAAATCACTTTATATTAAAGTACAATAGTGAAGTTTTTATAACTTATAATTAAAATAATAATGCAGTTTATTTACTTGAATTAAAATATTATTAAATATTGTTATTAACCAATTGTTATCAAATAATTATATTATGAAATAGTAAAAGAAAACAATAAATAAATGTATTTAATTAAAATAAATATATATTTTGAAATTAATAATCATTCGATTCATTTTGCAAAGATTACATATGTTTAAAATGTATCATTTTCGAGTATTTGTGCCTAATGTATTCATATTGATTTCGGTGTGTTATACATTTCCCTTCATGAAATAATCTAATTTTTATATACATTTCTGCAATGCTTTTAACTAATTCTGTCTTGTGATTATCTAAAAATTCTTGTTCTGATATGTGTTCCAACATTACGGATTGGTTAAAAACTTTTTCAATGATTTTATTGTACGTTGTGTTGATTAATTTTTGTTTAACATTATTTGTTCCAAAAATAATACTTTTGTTTTCCCTAATCGTTTGTTCTGCTGCAAGTGCAACTTTAATAACATCTTCCGAACGAATAACTAATCCTCCTCTGCTTTTTAATTCAATTAACTTCGGTGTTATTGTTGATGTTAAAAAAGTTGCACATACATGGCATATATTTTTTTGACGCATTAACTTACGTACTACAAATCCACTGATATACTTGACCACTTCTTCAATATATGGAGAAAGCGTCCACAAAGTAGATAAATAGTCGTGGTCAAATACATCAGCAGATATCGCAATAGAACTATCGTTCAATTCATTGAATAACCCATCTGACGATTTCTTTTTTGCAGAAGATACAAATAGAATCTGTATATCATTAATGAGACAATTTCCGGATTCGGATGCCGATATTTCATGCCTAAGTAGCAATCGTTTATAGCTCCATTCTAACTGTTGCGCATTCGGGTTATTATTAAATCCTCCTCTGCTTCGAAGGGCGCTGAAAAATGTCTCTAAGTGATCCTGATTTAATTTATATGTTAACAAATATTTCATGTTTAAATTTTTCAATAATTGAAACAATTCAAAAATATTTGTTAAACATATAATGAAACCAAGGAATCCTGTTTTGCGATTGCTTTCGACAATCGGCAGATTTTGTGAATCTTTAAGATTTTTAATGTAAGCTATAATGTTATTAGCATACCCTTGCAACTCGTTGAAGTTATTAGTTGTGAGAGCAACGTTAAATTTATTTTTCTTCGAAAATTGAGACCTGACATTTAATAAGTCAAATGCATTATTGAACATTGTACAAAACAATGCTGTCTCTTCGGGAGATTTGAAAGTCTGTGGAGCACATTCCTTTGCGAATCGAAGACCGCAACTAACGCTCTCACTAAGTGTTTCTGCTGCCAGTTTAACATTCATTTTGTTATGGGCATACATGATATGTTTTTTAGTTAGTTTTGTACCAGCCCTTAATCCCTCTTCATCTTGCATCTTTTGTAATTGCACAATATACTCCCAAAATATATTTTGACTGTTGCTTTGTAAAATTAATTTATCTCCCAATGTGTTTCTTACTAACTTAATCATATGACAAGGATCGAAAAACAAAATACTTTTTTATTATTAGCGGGATTTCTGAAATAAGGTTTAAATTGTGGACCTATCTGAAAATTAGCACCCAAACTATTGCACATGCTAATGTTAACAGTTGCTCCATCAAACGTTAAAGAATGTACTCGAACTCCTGTTTCCTCGATTAATTGCAAGCATTTTTCTAATAAGCTACCTCTTTCTTTACCATTCAACGAATCAATTAAAAGTATCCAAGAGGAATTTTTCCAATGTCCCGTTTAAAAGCTACAGCCATAAAAAAAAGAGCATTCTTCGCCTGCGGTGGATTGTCCATATCAGTGTTGTTATTGACGCCTAAATCAACACACCCATAAAAACGATTGCCGTCATATGTAATTTGTTGACGAATCGCTATCTCGTCAACTACCAAATTACAAATAATAGGATCTTCATTCATTCTTGTTTTATACTTGAGTGCGGTGAAGACTTCATCCGTAAAACCTGGACGACCATTTATGACTGCATACCATTTGCGAATCGTTGAAGTTTCAGGTAAAAGATTATGAAAAGTTTTCCTTACATAATTGTATGCTTTCGAGGAATAAAAATTTAAAGTTAGCGCAAACGCTCTCAATTCTGCAGAGTACTTTTTTTTCATAGCTTTTCTTCGTTTCAACATTCCTTGCATAACTTCGGGCATCTGGGCCTTTATAAATAAAATACATATAACATATATTAGATTTACATGTATTTAAAATACTTTCTTTTATTAGTTTTCAAATTTCATATACACACAATGTGTTTTGTATATGATACATAGATACATTGTACATAGTAAACATGTAGCGCATAGAGAATTAAGTACAACAATTCAGTATAAAAATAACCCAGCAAACACCAAGTTACAGTTATATAATTGTTAGTTGTAACTTGGTGTTTGCTGGAAATATATAAAAAAGTACTAATAATAAAAATACATTTAAAAATGTCGAAGTGTATATAGTTGTGTATATAATCAACTATATAAAAATGTAATATAACTATATAAATATTGTAAAAAAATTATTTGTACAAATTACATATATACAGAATTTTAGATACAAGTATATCTATTTTTGTACTTTAGATACAAGTATATTTTTCTTGGAATTTACAAATAAACAACCCAATGTAAAAAAGTATCTAATAATTAATTTTATCGAAACTTACTAATAAACTATCTGCAGCTCCATCTGACACTAAATTTTTCTGTTTTAACATTTTTATTAGGTCTTTCATATGCAATATACGTTTTCTGTATCTTCTATTTGCTTGCTGCAATACCTCAATTTTTCTTCGATACTGTACAATATTTGATTTGGCTAAATTTAATGCCCGCTTAGCTCTTCTTGGTGTAGCGAGATGTGGTGACTGAATGTCTCCAACGAATCGAGGCTCAACATATTTTGGCGGAGTTTTGAGAACATTTATTACAGCAGATGCACCTAATAATCATTACCAATAATTTGAGTTGGATCAAATATCCGATTTCAATATTTTTATTTTATAAAATGCAGAAATATCTAATTTAATTGATACTTAATTCCATTAATGCAGTATTTTAAGCAATAAACTGCAATAAATTATTATAAACTTTCATTTTTCAGTAATTATTACATTGATTTAAATAATATAAAATTATGTTATCATTCTTTAATTTATTGCAATTATTGATTTTCAATGACAATTACCTTCTACAGGTACAGGTAATGTATCTTCATCGCTGTTCGTCATTAACGTTTCATCATGCTCCATAACTAGATCATAGTTATTATCCAATCGAAGTGTTGCATCTCTGTCATTAGTAGTTAATGCATCCTTGTTTTTTACAACAGGATCATTGTTATTATCCGACAATCCAATTGGAATTTCTTTGTTACCGCCCATACTAAATGCATTTTTTACTGCAGGATCGTCGTCAAAATTCAGTTCGAAATTTTTTTCAATGAAGTCTCTGCCAGACTCTTCTTGACTTTTATCCGTTAAAGTCTGATGTTTTGACTTCTTTTTCATTTTTCTTAAGTGGAAGAAAGAAGGAATTGCATTGGGTTTTACTATGCGTTTACCCAATTGTGAAATCAAATCTTCATCCTTAAAATGACTTGAACAAATTGTGCTGACGCTTCTCAAATGATGTTCTTCCATTCCACAAAACTCGAGCCATTTCGTTCTCAACTCAAGATTTTTCGGAAACCTGTAAATTGAAAATATTGTTGAAATCTAAATTAAAAATACAGAGCAAATTTATTAATAATATATTATCTTCAGAAATATAACATAACCTATTTTATTTTTCATATTACAATAATTTGTATGAGATTAAGAGAATATTTACTAATTATTAATTTTATTATACACTTACCCATGATACGAAATTCCTTTTTGACGGCGACTACCGCATAAAATGCAATAATTAACCATTTCTTAAAAACTCAATAAATATTCGATTATAAACGACTAGCGTGAATATTTTGTCTTCGGCTATGTTTATTTACACAGTTCGTTTATTCTCGACAGCCAGTTGAGGATCATGCGCAGAAAACAGCAAAGGAAAGAAAAAGGAGAACACTATATCTTCTGTCTCTCTGTTACACCTTCAAATGTTAAGCTGTATTCCCCTTCCAGTAGTATAAGTTCTATGATTTGCACATGCGTAGTCCGAATTTCCAGGGAAGCATAAACGAGTCCTTAAGATTAAGTTAAGACTAATGGCCGGAGCACAGACTTTTGCATAAAGCATAACGCATAAGCATAAGGAAAGTATATAGTCG